TCTCTAATTTCTCATTTTTTATGGCTGAGTAGTACTCCATTTTATAAAAAAACCACATTTTCTTTATCCAGTCTCCAGTTCATGGGCATTTGGGCTGTTTCTAAGTTTTAGCTATTACAAACTGAGCACAGTAATATTGAGAAGGGAAGGAACTCAGGGCCTTCAGTACCAGGCAGCACTAGGTGAATAAATCCCCTCACCTGCCACAGCCTGAATAGTTCTGTTGTTATTTGTTCCCTTTCTTGGGGTTCCATGTGTGATTTCATTTGTATAAATATGCCATTGCTAAGATTAAAAAAAAATAATATAGCTAATTGGAAAGACTATAGCAAGAAAAGTTGACCAGAAGCATCAAACATACAGGAGGTAATAAAAAGCAGTACCTAAAAGTGTGACTATTAGGCAAGAGAAAGAAAAAGAAAAAAAAAGTGAGTCACAAGCTCCCTAATTCATAGCAGTCACAGCAATTAATTCAGGGGGAAAAGACTTAATGTACTTTGATAACTCTTAAGGGCATTATTATTATTCATATCAGTCAATACTACATAAACTCTTAATGTGTAGGCAGTGTCCTAATTGCAGGAAATGCTAAGAGATATTTAGCACTGATTCTGCCCTAAAGCTTAGTTGATGTAGAGAGGAAATATATCAGAAGAAAAAAGAACACATTTTACTATAGCATGTATGGTACCAGAAATTACTACAGAAGTTCAGAAGAGGGAGGAATTATGGAGCTGGATTGATCAGGAAAGGAGTCACAAGCAAGTACAATAGATACTGAAATAGATACTATTTCTCAAGCCCATTTTCTCTTACCTCAGGGCTCATAGTCTTCCTCACAAGTTAAAGCATGGCTATGTAAATGAGTCGTAGCCAATGGAATGTTAGCAGCCACTATGTGTGTCATTTTCAGGCCTAGTCCATAAAGCTATCCTATACCAATCCTTCATACACTCTTTCTTCCTGCAGCTGTGGCACTGAAAACCAAGTATTAAAGATTGCAAACCCATGGAAGAGGCCTGGCTTCCTGAATCACTGCTCTAAGGAAGACACCTGCCTTTCAGGAACACCCACCTTGGACTGTAGAAGAGCCAGCAATAAACCTATGCTTTGTCAAACCATTGAGATTTTGGCATTTCTGCCACAGCACTTGTTACTTAACTGATACAGAAAGTAACACTGAAATGGAATTTTGGGGGAATGTAGGACATAGATAATCAAAGACGATGTTGAGGGGATCTCATACAGGAAGGATGATATGGACAATGCAGTGGAGGACAGAATGCAGCACAATAGGTTGAAATGGAATATTATCATTTGGGTTTTCATTCCATTCCTTTTTTTTTTTTTTCGGTACCAGGGATTGAACTAGGGACCTTGTGCTTGCGAGGCAGGTGGCGGAACCACTGAGCTAAATCCCCGGCCCTCCATTCCTTTTTTAAAAAAATTAATTTTATTGGTACATTTTAGGTATACAGTATAATGACATTCATCATTGGAGATTTGCGCCTTTACATAATCTTTCTTTGTTCTTATTTTTTCCCCATTCCCTTGCTCTCCCTTCCTCCATTCCTTTCTATTTACAAAGACTTCGTTTCCATTTTTACATTTTCTCATATTAATTCCATTCCCTTCTTTCCTTTCCCCTACACCTCCCACTCCCTTTCCCCTTTGCCCCTTTTCTTCCTATTTCACATTATCTATTATACCTTTTAGTCCTTATTTACA